CCCCCGCCTGGATCCTCCCTCTCCCTGGACTCCTTTTCCTACTGCCAAGCCATCTCCTTCCCGTCACCCAGAAACACTAACGCCCCTCTCCCTCCTCTTCTCTTTTCCTTCTTCCCTTCTCCTCTTCTCCCTCCCTTTCCTCTATTCTCCCTCCCCTCACCTCTTCCCCTCCCTCCCTGCTTCCCTCCTCCCCCTTACCCCTCCTTGCCTCCTTCCGTTTTCCCTGCTTATCCGGCCCCCAGCCCCTTGGCCCTTCCCTGCCCCCCTCTCCCCCCACAGCCCGTGCAGCGTCGCCCCCTCCTCATCCCCTCCACCCCTGCCCTGGCCGCTGAGCTCGGGGACTCCCAGTGGATGAGCTAATGCAGTGGACCAAGGACACAGGCTGGCCACTGCCCCCACCCCAGCGTGGAGTTGTGTGGAGTGGGGCATGTGTGTGTGTGTGTGTGTGTAAGGAATAAAACATTCCAAATAGGAGGGGAAGAAAGAAGACTGCTTCCAAGACCTGCTGGGAGCCGGGTTTAGTCTGGCCTGGGTTATTTGCACGCCCGGCTCCCCCACCCCAGCCAGAACTGACTCACGCCCTCACTCCCTCACCCTCCTCTGGCCCCTCTGCCTGCGAGGCAGCAAAAGCCTCGACCCTGGGGCCTGGCTCACAGATGGCACCCAGCGCTGTCACAGTCAGCAACAGCCCCAGACAAGCTGCGACCTGGCTGGGACTGCTTTCCTCAGATGGGAAGGTGACAGAGCCAGTGTCACTGCTGCTTGAGGTGTAAGCGAACTGACACATGTAAACACATAGATTAGACACCCAAGAAAGGCTATGGTTAGTTATTGAGTAATCAGAATCAATCCTGATGCAAACCCCAAGGGTCAGGTCGGATGTGTAATAAATTTCAGAATTCTTGCCAAGCAAAACAACAAAAGGAAACGAATGAATGAGCCCATCCATGCCAGGGTGGACGGGTAGGTGGATGGCCATGATTACAGACAACTAGGAGCAGGTGTTGCTGTAACTAAAATGGCAAAAACAAAGGAACTCCTGCTGGCTGCAGCCACTTGCTTCCTCCTGGATAAAGGTAAGGGGCAACTGGGCAGAGAAAAGCGGAGATGACTCGTTCTCCACACCCCTGCCCAGGCTGGGTTTGGGAAAGGATCAAAGGCAGACCTGTGAATAAAGGAGCTCCCAAGAGTGCCGGAAGACCTGGGCAGCTCCCTCCGTACGCCTGGAAAGGGAGAGGTCTTTCCAGCCAGAAGCCTTAAAAGATGGATACAATCAAATGGATATGAACCCTGCTTCAAAGAGAAAAACTACTACCAGATACAAACCGTGAGAGAAGGCAGCAACCATGAGAAGTATTTGCTGCTCAGATCGGAAAGAATCAGTGTCCATGGCAAACGGAGACACGACCACACCAAAGAAAACCAGCACAGATGTGTCCGGGTGGATGGAACAGCTTGAGACCCGTGAAAAGATACCCACGCTCACCCCCCTGAAAAGAGATACAAACTAAAGCAAGACTGTATAGCAGGTTGGAGAAGACCAAAAAGTCAGACAGGAGTCCTTTGCAGGTGAGTCTATGCCAGTGGTGATGAACCTATGCCACATGTGCCATAGTGGGCTGTTTGTGGCTGAAACCTCTGAAAGGTTCGCCATCACTGGGCTATGCAGTGCCAGTCCCTCAAATGCCTGACACCTTCTGTGTGGGGGCCATTTGGCAAATTTTCAAATCTATGTGGCCGCAACCATTTTTGCCTGGCAGGTCACTGGCTAGACCCTGGGATGCCAGGTGCTCTGTCCCGTGTTCCGGGATTCTAATGCAGTTGAACTGAGGTGCACACTGGTGTTGTAATTTTTTAATGTCCCATGGGTGACTCTCTTTACAGCTGAGACTGACAGCCACAGCTGTAGGTCTCCCTTCATGCAGGCAGAATACACCCAATTCATTTGTTGCTTTATTTCTAGTAGCAGAAGTTTAGGAGTAACCTGAGTGCCCATCAGTAGGGGATTGGGTGAATGATAACTATACTGAACCCCATAGAGGTTGCATGGGCACAAGGCAGAAAGATAAGGGCCCTCTCTTGAGTGGCGCTGTTGCTCCTGCCTCTATGTCTTGCGGTGATTCAAACCATGTCCCCTTCATGGTCATTTGGACTCTGGGGAAGAGCCGTAAGTGACACCAGGCCAGATCTAGGGAACAAGGACACAGCACCATGTGTTACGAGCCTGCCTTTCCGCTGGATGGTGCTCGGCAGCAGCACTCCCTATATTTTTTATTTCTGTCTTCTTCTTTTTTTTTTTTTGTCTGTTGGAGACAGAGTCTCACTGTGCACTTCAGGCTGGCCTTGAGCTCACTTTGTAGCCCAGGCTGGCCTCAAACTCTCGGCAATCCTGCCTCAGCCTCCGGAGCGCTGGTGTTACAGGTGTGCGCCAGCACGCCCAGTTTGTCGCCCGTATTTTTTCATCACACCATGTAAAGACATGGAAGAGGACTTCTAGAGCTGTTTCAAAAAGTGGCAAGAACAATGAGGTAAGTGTGTTCAAAGTGAGGGGGAGGGTTTTGAGGGGGATCAATGGCAACACTTCTTTTACTGTAATAATTTTTAATTTAAGCATTCACAGTTCTGTTCTGTCGTCCCTGTGTGCAAGTGTGGAATATTCTACAAGACACCGTAAATAAACAAAGCTGTCACGGCACAGTGTCCGGCACCACGCCGCCGGTGGGGCACAGCAGGCCCGTGTAAGGAGACCCTGTGAGTGTGATGTGCCTGCTGACACCTGGGAGAGAGGGAGGAGGGAAGGGAGACAGGAATCTAAAGTGAAGAAGCCGGGACTATTTTTCTTTTTATTGTACTTTTATTTTGAACCACGTGAAGGCACCATCTTATCATAGTAGGAAGTTGCCGCGAAAAGGTGCAGTTTGCCCACGCAATAAGTGAGGTGAGTGCGGAATAGTGGGAGACCCACTCCCACCCACGCCAGACGGTGCTTTCTCTTCGTTGTCGTGGGCTCCCTCTGCTGGACAGAATACGTAAACGTCTGGTTTTAAAGAGAACGCTACTGTCAATTTCGCCCAGCTAAGGCAGAAAAAAAAAAAAAGGAAAAAACCCAGCAGGCCAAAAATACATACTGTGTGTGAAGATTCGTTTCAGTTGGGAGCCGCACCATATAAGAAGCAATCCAATTAAGTTCATATTTCTATAGAAGGGAAATCAAAATATTTGAAACATATGTACTGTGTACCATGTTAAGAATTGGGGGAGTAAGGCAGGCACGGTGGCACCCCTGTGATGCCAGCTACTCCGGAGGCTGAGGCAGGAGGATCACAAGTTTGAGGCCAGCCTGGGCAACTTAGTGAGAGCTTGCTTGTCTCAAAATAAAAAATAAAAAGAAGTGGGGTGTAGCTTCCTGGGGAGCACCCCCAGGCCTGAGCACTTGCACTACAGATAATGTAATAGTGGAGGGAGTGGTACGGAGTCATCCGGTCACATTCTTTCATTCGTTTCCCGTTGCAAACTCACTGGCCTGTAGGGGGCAGACATGCAGTGTGAATGAGCCATTGGCACAGCATGTAAAGTTTTTCTAAATTCTTCTTTTCTCTCTCTTTTTTTTTTTTTTTTTTTTTTTTTTGCTGTTAATAATTCCCCTGTATTTTTTATTAAGTTTATTGGTACATTTTAGATATACATAATAATCATATTTATCATAGGGAATTTGTACCTGTACATGATATGTTTTGATTGACTCTTTTCTCCGCAATCCTCTCTCCTCCCTTTAACCCATCTTTCCCTCCCTATTTACAAAGCTTTGTTTCCATTTTATCCTTTTAATCATTTTTTCCTTTCTCCCTCCTTCCTTCCCCTCCCCCACCCTAGCTCTTCTTTTCCTTTTGAACAATCTCTTCCTTTCCACAGTATCTATTGCACATGTTGGTCCTTATTTGCCCTTTCAGTTTCTCACACCGGGGAGCTGACGCAATGTTCTGGGAAAGACGATCTCCCCGCTCCCCTTCCACCGCGTGTCAGTTTCCTGCAGGGCAACCTCCACACACGCAGGGGCTGCCGGCTCTCAGATCTGCCCCATTTCTCACACACGAGCCCAAGCCTTCCAGTTGCTTAAGAAAAGCAAAAAATCTTATTCTTAAACTTTGGCAATAAAAATAATCCACGAGAGTTGGCTGTGCGTGACCTTGGACTAGGCAAATGCACCCCAGCTCTTATGGGGCTGATCTTCCAGCATGCGCTGGCTTCAGGGTGAATACTGTGGATTGTCAGCAAAACGTAAGTCTAACAGCTGAACAACAGAGAGAAAGCAAAGCCCCAGCAACTAAAGGATCTAGATCAAAGTGGGATTCAGGCGTGGTTTCATCAAGGCATTGCCTGGAGAGCTCGGCACCTATCTGCTTCCCTGATTCGGGTGTTAGTTTTATCTTCAGGTAAATTCTGCCCTTCTGCCTGGCATACTGAACCCCACAGCTTCGGAGCTGGTTTCTCACTCAGACTTCAAATG